AGATGGCTATAGATACTATCATCCTCTCCTTTTGCCAAGATGCAGAAGAGCATCAAGGTACAGCACAGTATGCTCCTCCTCTTCTCATGGAGACGCTCGATGGCGAAGAACAGATGCAGAGACTAACCCAAGGATCATAGACTTATTATATTATTCTACTTTTCTTTTTTCGCCTTCTTCTTCTTCTTCCCTTTTTTTTTTGTGGGGTGGTTTTTTTTCCCTTACTTATTTTGATTACCTTGGCAAGAATTCTGGAGCGCGCTATGCAACTCCATTTTCTTAGAATAGCTAACATGTCTGTTTTTCAGTCCTTTAAAGTAAAGAGATTAATGAGTATCATTGTCATAAGAGGGGATTTCTCTCTTTGTCGCTTATGTGGCACAATCATCACCATCCCTATAAAGTAAGCATAAATCTTTAAAGTGAAACAGTCTAAATATTTTGGACTAAATAAAGGGGGAGGGGAGGTGTTATTGTAGTTCGGGGACTATTGATGATTAGATATGAAAAGACCCTGTTACCCCTTAATCAATATTTTTTTTTTAAAAAAAATGGGAAGAATAAAAATATGGAGGAGATAACACGACAAGCAAACTCCGAACAAATGCAATACAATGGAAACTCATTAAATAGATGATGAAGCAAATTGGTCCGCTGTTCGACGATAACGTAGACGGGTTAGATGAGTTCATTCGTGTAAACTGGCAACCGCACGCGTGCTTGCTGGATAAAAAACCGTCGAAGCCTAACATATACGTTCAAGGGTCCGAACCGTATTAAAAGTGAGTTCTTGTAATTGCGCAACACAATGCAAGATGAAATATTTTAATTTTTTTTTTCTCTCAAATGTTCTTCATCCAAGTTGGATTAGTCGTTGATGCAAAGTTTAAATTCCTGGTCCTTATTATACAAAATATCCAAAATGTCCTGAAACTTTCACAAATTCCATTCAAAGACTTGTAATAGGTAGAAGGAAATTATGGACATTTGCCGTTATGTCCTAACCTATACCCCCTTTATAATGATAAGTTTCCGTACATGACATTGTTATTAATGGTGTTAATAATAAATTGAACCAAAATTTTTTACTATAAGCTTATGGATTATTATACCCCATGACTATAGCGAGTTAAATTAGTCCGGGGTAAAACATGTCCCTAATCCAAACATGGTCTTAGAGTATTTCTTTTGACAAGAAATAGTATCTTGTTGGATAAAACAAGAAACTAATTTAATAGTAAATCTCTATTAGATATAGTCAACATGCATCCTTATTCAGAGTTTTGATGAATGTATATTCATTATTTATCTATTGATAAATGGGTATAAACTTCAAATTAAAAAAATTATATTACTCCACAATCTAAAGTTCATTTAAACTATTTATAAACTTCAATACATAACTCTGATGTTTTGTAGATAGTTTATCTATACAAATCCAAATATTCACATAAGATTTTGAGTTATTTTGTATTAGTCCCTCAAATCTTTAATGATTCTATATTAGCCATTCAAATCTTTGATATTACTCATAAGTCCCTTAAATTCTAAGGTGTCATACAATTTGGTGCATCAAAGAAAATTGTGCAAGCTTTGGGGCATCAAGTGTCAGGAAAAAAAATGAGGTATCAAAGTGTAAGCTTTAGAGTGTCCAAGTGTCAAATAAAGAATGTGGTGGTAAAGTTAAAAAAAGATGCAACTTTAAGGTATGAAAGTGGAAATAACTTGACATAGGGAGGACCTTGAAAATCTTGCTTTTTTGTTATTTATGTAGACTTTAATTTATTGCTTAGGAATTTTTGTAATAAAACCCAAAGTTCTACCCCCATTTACATGTATAGCTACAAACAATGAGCTATACTACCTATAGTATGTAACTATATACACTCGTATATAACTATACATCCTAGCATGCAGCTATACACTTTGTACTTAGGTATGCACTTTGTTGTATGTATATCATCCTTGTATTTTGGGTGTATGAAAATGTATAGAACTATGTGGGATTCAAAGTAAATGGGGTCAGATTTTGGGTTTTAAGCAAAAATCTTTATTATTTATTGCTCAACCTCAGCAAGATCATGAGGTTAGTTAAGCATACTATTCACGTGCCCCAACAAGCATTACTAAAAAAAGGGTGGTTTAGAAAAAAAAAAGTTATATATCATACTCTCTTTAAAAACACGAGTTCAAGAAAATCTTTTTATGGTCAATATTATCCTTCACTATTTTAAATATTTTATTTATATATTAGTCTATTATAATCATAATTATATCCTATTCTAATCTTACGTGAACTATCTATAGCTTAATAATTTAAAAAAATAATATCAATAAAATATATAAAACATTTTCATGGTATTAGTTTGTTAAGATAAAAAAATTATACTTAGCTAACGTACTATAATACATAAAGTATTGCAAAAAAATCTCAAAAGATTTAAAATTGAACAAAATTCCCTGAAAAGTTCAAAATTATAAAAATTGGCCGTCGTCTAAAAACTTAAACAACAAACATGAAATCAAGAAATTAACAGTAGTTTGTAAAGAATTTAAAATTTGCGGTTAACATCTCAATATCTCAAAAATTATAAAAACACCCTTAAAAGTTCAAATTACAAACAAACACCTGAAATTCTAAAATTTTAAAACCTGCAAACAACATAGTTGAATTCAAGGGATTCCCATAATGCACCTAAAAAATTCTAACATTTCAAAACTTAAAACAACAAACATGAAATCAAGAAATTAATAGCAGTCTCTGAAGAATTTAAAATTTTCAATTAACACCCTCAATGTCTCAAAAAATTATAGAAACACCCTCAAAAATTTAAATTATAAAAAATTATAGAAACACCCTCAAAAGTTTAAATTATAAAAAAATTATGCTGATACGAACCAATTTCACAATTCTCTATGAAAAATATAAGAAAAATTAGTAAGCATTCATAAATTTCATACTTTGTTCTTCAAATACTAAAGAAATTAAATATTAATATTATAATCTAAGGAAAATTGACAATAAAAAAATGCAGATATTTAGTTTAGATCTTTGTGGAAAATGACAAGTAGAGAGAAAATGTAATATTATTGACGTAACGACAACTCTTATTGGTTGCACATCGGAAGAATTAATTGTAGAGAAAAAAGAGGTAACTATTAATATTTCTAAGTAATAAATTAGAAACACAAAGAATTTTATATATATAAGATTAATATTTATTCTCATTGAAATAAAAAAAATCAAAATCTATATTTTAAGAAGTCTGTGTTGAACATCGGAAATACATTTAAATTTTTTGTGAAGTTAAACGACAAGATAAAAGATTAACGAGTCCATGAAAGATAACAACACAAAAAATACAACTCTAGCCTGATGTTACAATCGAGTAGATGATGAAAACACTACTCTAGAATTGCCCAGGAAAAAGATAAATGTGAGTAAGGATTGATCTTAGATCAATAAAAAAATAAAACAGAAGGAATAAAATATAATATTTCTGAATATTTTATAGAATAGTATAATTATTTTGAGTGAATTTAGGAATCTTTAAAAGAGAGTTTTATGAGTTTTTTTAGTACTTTTATATACTTGTGCATGTACTTTTATCATATGAAAGTATACTAGAGTTAGCATTAATCCTTAATTTAAAATTTTTTATAAAGTCTATCAATGATTAGGAATAAACTTCATATTCTCTTTTGTATCATTTTAGCATTAATGATTAGGAATAAACTTTATATTCTCTTTTGTATCATTTTAGCATACTTTTAACCAATTATTTTGGCTTATTGGTTTTAAATATTCACATTTCTTGTATAACATTATTTCAATATTTTTTACTTTTGCAACACTGTACTTTCTCAAGTAAAGCTTGGTTTCATGTCAGTCAAAATAATATGAAAATTCAAATTAGCTTCAAATTATATATTTTTTTTCTATCAATTCAAATATCAACATGAAAATTTAAATTGGGTGTAGCCCATTTAAACAAACATCAAAGAAAATAAATAATCACAATATTAGAATTTAGAGACAAAAGTGAGCATAAACTATTAAAATAGAACCGATGAACAAATTTAGTTAGAAAATAATCTAAAAATACTTAATCATGATATTTAACTACATGTATTGCACGTGTATAAAACCTAATATATATGTAAAAGGCAGTCACTTGATGGGCCCAACATGTGTTCCGCAAACTTTCGAAAACTTGTGTTTAGGTTTTTATGTGATTATATTCATTATATTATATATATATATATATATATATATATAGTATATATATATAGGTATAATAGATATATATATATATATATATATAATATATATATATATATATAGTATACTATATATCACATTGGGTAGTCACTTGATGGCCCAACAGTGTTCGCGGCAATTTCGAAAACTTTTGTTTGGGTTTTATATTATTATATATATGAGGAAATTATGGGTATACTGGCCAAGGATCCGTTGTAGTGATGTAGACACAATCTTGTCGATACATCACACATTGGAGTTGTGCGGCTGCCAATCTTCAGGTGGAATGTCATGGCAGAGTGTGTCACATCAGCACCAAGGATCCTTGTGGTACCAATATACCCATTTCTCTCTTCTCTCTCTCTTCTCTCTATACATATATATAGTATATTATATATAATATATATATAGAGAGAGAGGAGAGAGAGATGAGAGAGAGAGAATAGGTTATGCGTTCGGACCAAATAAAATAATTGTGGGTTTGGTATGTATGAGGTCACAATCTCCCTCCACTCATGTCAACAGTATGGTGATGCACATCTCACAATGGTAATGAGTGGATGGGATGTGACACATCCACTACAAGCACAATATTGTGCTTGGTACTGACAAGCTATACTACCATTTTCTCATATATTAATATATATATATAGTATATATTATATATATAGAGAAATATGGGTATCGCTGGCTACAAGCACAAAAGTTATGCTTGGTAGAGTGTGCAAATTCCGCCTCCACTCATTCAAATGTGGGACGCAAGTTCACATGGGTAATGACGTGGATGGGGACTTGACACATCTACTACCAAGATAAAAAATTGTGCTGGTACAAGCATACCATTCATATTATATATATATATAGTTATATATACTATTATATATATAATATATATAGTATAGTTATATATATAATATATATATAGAGTAGTATAGAGAGAGATGAGAGAGAGCAAGACTCCTACAACTTTAAGGGCTAGTGGAATAGTTATCCACGCAACTTTTACGCACTGCATTATTAATATAAAAAGTCCTTCATATAATGGACAGGATCCCTAGGCAAGGATCTATGGAATAAAAAGTTTGAGCATGGACAACTAATTTCCTATCCACTTAAGATTGATAGGAGTTTCATATATATATATAATATATATTATATATATAATATATATAAAGTAGATAATATAGAGTTAGATGGGCAACACGTGTTCCGCAGACTATTCGAGAAACTTGTTTTTGGCTTTTCTATATGACTAATGACGTACACGCCATAAACTTCAACTGGGATCATTTCCAAGTAAATTTCAGATGCCGTGTGATGATAAATAACCCTTTTGCCTCATTTTAACTAGAAAAATGGTTGAATGGTGAATACCCCTTGAAATTGAGGGGCAGAAAAGGACAAAGTATCCCATGAAATAAACCTAACGTCTTATCGGCACGTGAGAGTGAGTGAAAATGAAATACCAATTTTCACTTCTCAATGTTTGGTACCGAGCATGATGCGTGTTTAGTACCGAGCATGATGTGTGTTCGGAACCTAAAACTCTCATTTTCATTTCTTATAATTCAAACTTAAGTGGTAAACAAACAGCTAAATTAAATTCCAAGTATACCGTGATTGATCTTTAGTAATCTAATACCAAAAGTAAAAGATTGTCATTCTCGTTTCATTTTCTAATAGGAACTAAACATGAGAATGGAAATGAACATTTCATTCTCATATAACATAAGAATGGAAATGAACATTTCATTTTCATATTTATTCCATCTCATTCCTTATTTTATTTTATTCTCACTTAACTCGATTCCCATTTACCAAACGAGGCGTAAGAATGCCCATGAGGAATATGGTTACAAGTAATAGATATTTCCACTCTATTTCTAATGAAAAAACAGGCTATCGCATTAATAAAAATAGTGAGAGGTCATAAAGTTACATAGAATGCTCAACAGCACATGCAGCCAGAACCTCTAGCTTTTCCCCTCATTATCGCATTGTTTCCAATCCGTTTACACCTTTATCCCTCGCATCATAACACCGCAGAGACTGCATGATAATACAAGAAAAATACATAAGCGTCATTTGCCTCTCATCCAAAGCTGGAAGCAACTTAATCAAATTGAATATTGAGATGTTTTATTTATGTCAATCTAAGTTATTTAAATCTAAATCTGTTTTAGCTCTCACTAAGATATTAACAATTTTGACTTAAATCAACACAAGTGACAAAAAAAACAGACAATGAAAAGAATTTTGCATCAAAATGTTAACAATAAGGTGCGAAAACCCAAGTAGTAGTAATTAGAAGCAAACCTCACCATGATCTGACAATCAAGGATCACTTAATATATGCAATCGTGCATCCATAGTTCATGGGGCTTTCTTCTTCAAACTTGGAAACACAAGGATGATTCCTGAGTATCTCAAGAGCTCGTTCCTTCACGGCGCCAGTGCCTGTCCCGTGAACAATAAAGAGAACACTATAGGATTTGCATCCTGAAATGGCCATGCCGAGATAATGAGAAGCTTCCTCAGCTCTCAAGCCTCGGAGATCGACTGTGTTCTTTGAAGTTTTCACAGCTGGCCCAAAAGAAGTCTCTTCAGCTTGGTTTTCGTTCATTTTAGTTCTTCTTTCTTGTTTCTGCAATATGTTATCATCCATGAGATTCAATAGATAAGAAACAAATTCAGCTCCAGTTGGTGCATTTCCAATTCCTAAATCAGTATGATTGTTCTGTTGTATGGACATACCAAATGGATTGGGCACTAATAAAACATCATTAGAAATTATGCAGAAAAGAATTTCTACTCCATGCATAAATCTTACAGGTTTGAAATTGGTAACCAGGGTAAGTACAGTCAAACAATTTTCAGCAAGCATATGAAACAATTCGTAAGATAATGCTAAAAATGCACCTCCTTTTAAAGATTAGAACATAGTAGATTACACAATCAGATATTTTTAGCCTGCACTTACTCGATGTAAACCAGTCATTCACTAGTTGAAAACGTAGAATTGTAACAACACATTGCACAGGAAAAACAAAAAACAATGAACCTATTTGAAAGAAACCACTATATCTACACACTTATATTTATTATGATTAAATATTAATTATATCATAAGTCCTATCTGTTATATAATGGAAGGAGTGGGTCAAATGCATCAGTAGTGGTAGATTGGCCTCATAACCATGAGGACTATGGCATGTGGTTATACCTCCAAAGGCTAAGGCTAACATGGTTGTCACCGTTGCCATCACATACTGATAATATCAGTAATAAATCACAGTTATGCTTTTATGTCATTTCTCATATCTGTCTTCCAAGAATACTACATATCATTCAGAGGAAAGCTGAGAACACTACGATTACGCTACTCACCTGCGATTTTAAGTTTGAAGAACCACCATTTGGTGTATGCTTAACATTACTCTGCACTGGTTTTATGTCCCTTCCTTTCACTCGCACCTTTATTTTTCCATATTGGACCATGACAGACCCATCTTCCGCACCCACTTCAGTGACAGTAGCTAGTTTGGTTCCCAAGCCTTTAACATATACTTTCTCTCCAATTTTTGTTATATATGATTTGTGGCTGTCTGCTGGTTCATATAACAACTCACTCGGACTGTGAGCAGCAACAATGGAAGAAATTGCAGCTTCTGACCCTCTAATTATGGAACTGACCTGGACAGGATTTGCTTTCTGGAGTTGCATCTCAAAGTTTTTAACTACAGCATCCATCTGATGTTTTGCAGACCTCAACTCTTGTTGTAACCTCTGGACTTCTTTAGCCTTCAGTGCATCCTCACGTCTATCAAGGTCTGTGGCCTCGGATTGTAGCTGTATACACACAATAGTAAGAAAAAAAATCAGTTTGGTGAAACCAAAAACAGTTTATGCTCTCAGTCTTTTTATTACTTAAACTAACCTTTGAATCCCCAACAAAGTAAGAGATGGTATAAACAAGAAATTACATAATATGCAGTTTACATGCTGGAAATAGTAACGGAATATTTTGTGTTGATAAACTATTTTACTGAAGTCATTTACAAATCTTTTGAAAAGAAAAAAAAACTTCAGATTGCAGATCTAGCATTGAGCAAAAGTGAGAGATTGTTTAAAAAAAAATTCTTGCATGAGACATGTGGGTCATATTAATGGACTACTTTTTAAAGCATTAATATGGTCATACAAATCATATGATACAACACAATCTAGAGTACAAGAGAAAATGTTCCAGCTGCTTCCCTGCCTATATGGAAATAACGACTAAAAATCGATGTAAAGAAAACTCATATATCACAATATTTTGATAAGTCAAATCTTAATGTAATTTCCACCTTCCACTTAAGGTTAATATGAGATACGATCAGTTTGATTTCAATGTAAATTCATTTAAATTAAAGATTGTTCTTCTACTCATGCTCCTTAATTTCATGGGAGGATAATCACAATGTCCACTTTTCAGTATATTTTCTTCTTTTCTGTACAACAAAGCATATGCTATCTGACTTCTGTGTTTTAACAGCAGCATACAATTCTATGTTTCTTGGTTCATGTTGACATGTGAGAAGACATATAAACTAATCCTTATGTCACTCAAACTGTGGCAATTCGCACAGTAAAAACAGAACAAGCTATGGCACCTGAAATGCAGAGGTTTCTCTTCGAACAGATATGACCATTTTCATATAACTACCTGTTAAATTTTTTATCATTTGGAAAATTGAAGTGTTAAGTTGAAGCAAACGTGGGTATCACAGACCCACCGGTTCAATATTTCTATGATTAACCTCAACTGCTCATAATCATATTACAACATGTCATGTACTCATATGCTAATCAGTTAGAATGAGTGCACATTCGATCAAATATAAAAAGAATACCTCGAGGTACAGTTTTTTAACTTCTGATAGAACAGATGCAGTTTCCCTTGCTTGGGCCTCCAAAAGATTTCTTTCCTCCATTAAAGACTGATATAGAAAACCCTGCCTTTCCTTTTGTTTGTCAGGCACTAATTTTTCTACCCATTCTTGAGCACGGTTAAGCACCTCCTGATCAAATCCAATTGATTTAGCGATGCTCAGAGCATTAGAATTACCGGTGCTTCCCCACATTATCCTGTATGTAGGTTGCAAAGTTTGGATGCAAAACTCCATTGCAGCATTCTCAAATCTGGAATCAATAGCTTTCAGATTACTCAAGTCTGCATAATGTGTAGTCACCAAAGCTATATCGACAGAGTCCACTAGATGCTGCAAGATGCTGGTGGAAAGAGCCACACCTTCCGAAGGATCGGTTCCACTGCCAATTTCATCAATGAGTACTAGCGATTCTTTCGATATGACTTCAAATATTTTGCACAGTCGTGAAATGTGCCCACTGAAGGTAGAAAGGTTATGCTCCAGTGACTTCAATCCAGAAAAGTAAAGAGTTTCTTAGAGACGAAATCAAAATTTGTTCACCAAGACACTACATACATTCTCTTCAAAGAGTAGATTAGACTACCTGGTGATCACCAATATCAGCAAGAATCTGATCAAACCATGGAAGCCTAGGTGTATTCTTTGCTGGCAAAAATATACCTGCCTTGGACATAATAGATGCCAAACCCAGAGTTTTCATGGTTGCAGTTTTCCCTCCAGTATTAGGTCCAGAAATTACTACCACCTTCTTAGCATGGCCTATCTTGATGTCTAAAGGAACAGGACTTTCACCTTTAACTAACTTCTCAGGGTCAGCATCTGAAACTGAAACAGTAGACAATCTCTTAAGCGAAGGTTCTAGGAGCAATGGGTGCTGAATGCCATCAATATCAACTGACAAATCCTCTCTATCTGACTCTACTTTTTCATGGCTCTCACTGAAAACTGGGAGAACACCACCTACCCATTTTGCATATGCACCCTTAGCACATGCAAGATCCAATTCCAGAATCTTCTCCATCAAATGCCTTATTTTTGTCTCTGAAATTGCTACTTCAGATGTGAGGAAGCCTAGAATAGCAAGTTCTTCAGCTCTCTCAGAATTTGCAAGCCGTACTTCCATGTTATTCAGTTCAACAGCATCTCTTGGCTCCATAAAGTATGTGGCCCCGGAGCTACTCACACTTAGTACAATACCTTCGGGAAGCAAATATTTGTGTGAAGCCTTGATGCCAACACACATTCTTGACCGCCGCCTTGTAACTAGAGGACTATCAATGCCACCGGATTGAAAAACCTTCACAGATACTTCCTTCAGAACGGATTCCAGTTTCTCTGCATTCTTCTTCCTCTCTGACCTAATAGTTTTCAACTTTGTGCTAGCTCGATCCAGGATTGTAGAAAGAGTACAATCAATACAGAATCCTATTTTGTTTGCCAGTTCCGTCAGAAAATCACAATTCTGTAGAATTTCGAGAAGAGGATGGTACCTGTTTAGATGCAAATTCAAGAAAAAACTAATACAGCTGCATATCTAAATATTTCAGCAGATATTAATATAAATCCATAAGATTTTTAGACAAAAGAAAACGATAGAGAAAAAATTTAATAAAAGTTTCAAAAAGACAATCCATATTCAAGTGTTCCAAAGCACTTCAAACTGATTAGTCCAAGAAAAAAAAAAACAGGCTATTCACGGGTTTCAGTGGTGGTAGCTCCATGCTAAGTTTCAACCATCCAAATCTCAACAAAGTGCCACATTCTTTAAGAACTATGTAACTCATATTCACTTAATTGTCAGCCACTGTAAGGTCTTATCGATGTTGCAACCCTATATAACATGATCCTATGTACATCTTGCCTATAAAAACACAGACAACATACAAAGGAAGCATTGTCAAGTGTTGATCTTATTCTATTTCAACTATTTTGAGCAGGAATTGGATCCAGCCAGAATTGTTATGTACATGAACGATAAGATATCTCAAAGTATACAAAGCCCAGTTACATGTTGGTAATTCGAGTCAAAGGACTTAAAAGAATAAAAAAAATCAACTCCATTTTCATGAAATTGTGCTTTTCCCTGAATGAATGGATCTATTATTGACATGCTCGTTAACCTGAAGACCAATATTTATCAAAAGAGAGTCCAAGACCCTAAGCAAACTTAGACAAGCATACAGATTAGCCTATTTTACTGGCTCCACACCGCAGAATTATCCCTTATTCTGAAGTGAATGTTATTTATCCAATAAAACGTGAATCTCCATTTTCCCTTTTTCGCTTGTTATGAGAGCTAACACCTTAATATCCCATTATATTGTTAATTATCACATTGTATCCAACATTAGCACAGAAAAATTGCAGAACAAGGAGCTAGGTAATCACCTGTCGGAACCTTCTCCTCTCAAAGCAATCCCTTCCAGCTGCTCGAAAACTCCTCTCGCAGATCGAAGACTCCGTTCAACAGCACAAAGCTCCGGGACTGTAAGCAAACCCCCATCAACAGCCAACCTCACAAACTCCGACACGTCATCAACCCCCGAGAAATCCAACGGATTCGGTAACAAAACAGCAGCTTCCGTCTGCTGCAGGAGCTTCTCGCTCTCCTCTCGATTCCTCCCAACTCTCAGCCTCGCGCTCCGGCAGTGAGCTCGGCCAATGGCCGTTGACGCAAAGGCGGAGACTTGACAGCACACCGAAGGCCATTCAAGGGTCTCGTAAGTTTCTCTTCGAAGCTCATCGGAGATCGATTTCTTGTCGAGAATCCCAGGTTCTCTAGTCTTGACCTCGTCGGACTCAGTGGGAATTCTAGGGTTTGGGATAGCGTTGGTGGAGATTTTGTTTTTTGAAACCCTAATTTTTGGGGGATTTGAGCTGAGGAGAGAGGGTAAAGTGAGGTGAGGGCGAAGGAGGGGGGGATTTTTGAATTGATTGAAGCAGTTGAGCTTCAAAGCCTCCATCAAAAGCGGAGAGCATTGAGCGTGGGCGTTTTAGGGCTTTATCAGAGAGGATACAGTTTAGTTAATGCCTGAGATTTGAACACGTGCAAATAAACATTATCCTTTTCGCGCGGAAAATATTAGTAAATGTCACAGGACCCCCTTTACTTTAGTACTTGTTGCACAACGCCCCTGAACTGTGAAACTTTCACTAAAATCGCTCAACTTTGCCGGGTTTCACAAAATACTACATAATATATCCTTATAAGCAGTAAAATCACATAAACAAAGAATATCGTGCCAATATAAATACATTATCGTATGGAAATCAGATATATAAAATCTTTTTTTCCTTGCAATCTTATTTTCTATAGTAAAAGTACACTAAACCTCCAAGGGCTTTCAGCATTTTGTTTAAAAACTTCAATAAACCCACCAATATCTTTTGGATAGACTACAATAAACCCCGGTTACTTTCAACAGTCAAACTGTTTATGTTGTTTCTATGTTCAAGTTTGTGGGGGTTATTCTCAAAATGAGGAAAGTTATTCGGTGTTTCTTGCAATTTTGAAAGTTTGGGGGGTTACTACAAAATGTTGGAAGTTCTAGGGGGTTTAGTGTTATTTACCCCCAGAGTATTCTCTTAAATTTAGTTCCTCTAACCATTAGACCAAAACTTTGAAGTTATGGTGATGATCGAGGATTATAGTTTTATATTAATTCTAACATGCCCCCGCAGGTTGAGCGCCCATTTTTATGGGTCGAAACCTGAACTCACGTAGCGGTGTCAATTTTTAGAAAATCCGCATTTAATTCGTGGCTGGTGGGATTTGAACCTGGGTTGCTCTGATACCATCTTAAATTTAGTTCCTCTAACCATTACACTAAAACTTCGAAGTTATGGTGATGATCGAGGATTATAGTTTTATATTAATTCTAACATATTCTATGCAAAATATCTAGATTATGCAGTTTGCCAAAAAGGAGCAAATATATTCCTCCCTAGCACTGACAGGTGTTACTATCCTAGCATTAACAGGAGATGGGAAAGAGCAAAATCCTCCTTTCCTGATTTATGAGCAGCAAGCATTAGCAATGCATCAACAGAGAAAGAAACATGCAACTTTCAACAACAGAAAACCACAAGAAATTCGCATAATTGAAAACAGATTGCCAGTTCAGTTCTTCATATAGTTTGCTCTCAAATGAGGCAACATCGGAGCCGAAAATTTTATTTACATTATTCAGGAACAAGTCAGCTTGAACTGAATGATACAAGACTATACATGCTACATGCTAGAAGAACAACGCTTCAGCTGTTTTGCGCTGAAATAAAAGTACATTTTTGCTTATCAGAGAAGGATATTTACAGTCAGAGTGAAAAATGGAGAGAGACCATCTCACGACGAGAAGCACAGCAGAAGCTAAATAAATGTTTGTACAGTTTACTCCTGCATGAGAAAAGCAATAAAAGGTTGGTTATGGCCTACTGTAAAGTTCTTTTCCCCTTCTAAAATTGATCCATGAACTATAAAGATCAAGTTGAGATGCTATTATAAAAAAGAATAGGGTACTGGCAGATACACCTTCAATGCTATGAGAGCACAGTCACTTATACACACCCTATACTATTTTATTAGCATTTACACCCTCTAAACTCCATACGACATTATTTCCCAACTTAGTTTGACACGTCACGTGGGGGGGAAAATCAGGTGATTTTAAATCGCCTTTTGCCCTCGGTTTAACTGAAAAAGGACTAATTGTCATATAAGTTGAAGGGGAAAAAATGATGTCGTCTGAAGTTCAGGGGTGTAAATACTAATAAAACATTTAGGGGTTTAATTGACAACACCAGTATTGTACAAGGGTGTGTGCGCACTTATCACAAAAAATGATCTAATTTCACTCCAACAATACTAAATGGCCTTTTACTTACAACTGCTATCTCCTTTGCAAAGATCGGTCTCTCCTTTGCAAGAATAGGAGCACCGCATGCTCTTGGAGCATGCTTTTCATCACCATACACAAGGTTCCCTCCCACGAAAGTTGCCAATACTTTTCCTGAAAGACGCTTCCCCATGTAGGCTGATATACTCTACAGAGAACAAACAAGGAAAAATATGATCAATTTTCATGTATCTAATCACGGCATACAAATTTTCAATAGTTCAGGCTACCCGGATAAATAGACATCGCACAAGCATCCTTCATTGAATTATGACAAATGCTTGGTTTTCAACAAAGTTCTAATAGTTTTTTTATAATTCCGGTTGAATTATGAACAAACTTTGGTTTTTCTACAAAACAACTGATAATGATCTGTGAAAAGGACAGAAAATATAATTAACTGAATAGCACAGGCACATGACTTCACTAACTGAATGAATTAAGGGATCAAAAGGATACCGGATGCTTGTGATATGTTTTGTAGTTCTCATCCAGTTCAAATTCCAGATCAGGTTCCCAAGCAACAAGATCTGCGTGATTTCCGGTTACAATGGCTCCCTGATGAATAACAGGAATTGACTGTTAGTAAAAGAATTCCTTCGCATATGTTACATGAATGATAATATTGTGAATGGATATGGAACCTTGAGGTGTTGGCCTGCCAGCTTTGCTGGCCTCTCACTCCACAGTGTTACCAACTGACTTAACGTGAGTCCATATTTTCTCCCATAAGTCCATGTCACTGGAAGAACATACTGCAAACGGGGACATACTAGTAATCTTTTTCCGGTATTCAAGCCAACAGGAAAAAAACGTAGATTGCATAAACAAAGAAGAAATGCTTAAATTGTTTGTGATAAGTTAAACGTCGATTAGATAAATCCACATAGGAGCTCAAGAGTGTACCTGCAAAGATGATATCCCACCCCACGCCTTTAGAAAGTTTCCTTCCTCAAGGAGCTTGAGATCTGGTACTGATGGTGAATGATCGGAACTTAACATGTCAATGTGTCCATCCTGAAATAGTTAAAAACGCAACTTAACAAATATAGTTTAAGTGTTCTTCCCAATATACTGGTTTACATTATTTTCAGAAACAGAAGTTAGCAAATAAAATCAAATGAATAATATAGAAGTGATCATCATACCAGCAAAGACTCCCATAATTTATGTCTATTAGCTTCCTCGCGTATAGGTGGAGAACATTTAAAGCGAGTGTCTCCATCCATTATTTCTTCTGATGAAAATGCCAGGTAATGTGGACATGTTTCCACACTCAAACTGGCACCATTTCTTTTCACGTCCTTCAAGTACAGCAGAAAAATGATGCAAAAAATAATTTGTAAATTGTAAATGCCTTAAAAAACTGACCCATCTGATCCCTCAATCAGAAATAAAATAAATAACTCGAAGGAACAGTAGTTGCGCTTGCAGAGATTATTAAGTTAATATACGAATGCTGATAGAATAAAGATATGAAACTGTTAAAGCTTATAGTTTCTAATTGGATTCCATGAGTTTTTTCATACACGGTAAATGAGGTATAGCATATAAACCTAATTTATTGTAATGTTATAGTTTATGAGATGAAATCATCAAAACAAAACGAAATTGCCTGACATTAAATTGTTCCGATAAGACAAAATGTCTATAATCGGAATGAAAATGCTTAAACAATTTGTGCTGGAAGTGGTGGTACACCCGATGGTCGATGAAAAAAACTGTCCATCATAATCCGGATACATGATATGTCTGAAAACTTGTGGCTTAAACACTGAAGCATGAACTTGATATAATACTGTTAAACTCAACGTTCACTCAGTTTGAAAGTTGGGCAAAGAAGGAAAACAAACAAACTTTTATACCGGATATATTTCATGTGATTAGGAGATGTCTGAGCTATTTGATAAAAGTCATACACACATCAGAAACTGATATGTAGACACGACAACATTTCACGAAAAAAGATATGCTGGTTTATACCTTGATAAGATCTAATGATGTTCTTGAATCTGACAAGTGAACAATATGTACATGAGCCCCTCTTGTCTCTTGCATTGCTTCTTGCAACTCTCTGATAGCTGCTTCTTCCCTGAAAGGACATTAAAAAAAATGAAACTATTTTAAACATGTCTGTTTGTTTGTTAAAAAAAAGGGAAATCAAAGAATAGGAAACCTATTTGTTAGAAATTTTATTTTAAGGTTGTTTGGTTGGAAAAAAAAGAAGGAAATTAAAGAAATAGGAGATGGGATAAGATGAGTTGTCGTCATATTATTGGATGATGTGAGTGATTTTTTTAAGAAAACTTATTTTGAGGTTGTTTGGTTGGCTAAAAAAATAAGGAAATGTATTATAAGAAACATATTTCCTATAATAGGTTCTTTTCTGGTGTTTGGTTCATTCTTAAAAATAAGAAAATAGATGAGATGAGATGAGTTGTTATTATATTATTGGATGATGTGACTCACACTTAAGGAAATCAATTTCCTTGTTTTTTTGGAGGAAATGGGTGGAGATGAAAGTTTAAGGAGATGAGATGAGTTGTCACAATATTATTGGATGATGTGATTGATTTTTAAATATGAGATGGGATGAGATGAGATGAGTTGGATGATATGATGATAAAAATAATATTTTATTAGATGATGGATGATAAAAATAATATTTTATTAGATGAGTTGGATGATAAAATAATATTTCATTAAATGAGTTGGATGATAAAATAATATTTTATTAAATGTTGGGGTAAGTTTTAGGGATGAAAATGGTTGAAAATAGGAAATGAGAGATTTCCATGCTCCCATTTCCTATTCTTGGTTTTTAGGAAACCAACCAAACAGCCCCTAAAAGCAAAGTTCGGTTGAAGAAAAATTCACCAACAGAATGTGTTTTGGGCCAAAATGAAGGGGCACATTTAAGTGCATACTATTATTGCACTATTGTATCTAGATAATGACATGTGTTATACACATCATCCTGATTAGGATGGCAAGAACACTGCCAAACAAAAAGGTTAAAATATTAGAATTTAAATTTCAAAGCAAAAAAGAAATATTGCGGGCATAAAAAGATTTGGTTTGCAGACAGTTTGAATTTGCTGGCTATTTTTCAAACTCACTGTTCCTTGAAACTGGCCTACAGGAGTGGGCAGAAGCCTTCAGGTTTTTCTACTTAATATGAAATTTCTTATTGATACTGAAAATGTCCCTAAGTGGTTGTATCTTTGCGCAATTATTTGATTGAAGGGATCAAAACTTTAGAAAAATTGAACTTAAGTACTTGGAAGTTGAAGGCAACACGTTATGGAAATCTAGTGAAACCTTATTCTAACTATTAAAAAGGAAAATGTGGTTGCCAAGTTACCATGTGGGTGGCCTGGTCCTAAGATATGTTTCATAGGACCGAACATCAGAACCTTTGCTATCATGGTTCAGGTTGCTTTCAGAATCCAAAACTACCTCCGCGTGGACAAGCAAAGGCCTTTTGAACTTTGCCAACACAGATAATCCCTCCTATAAAAGAAGGTAAGACTTTCAGGAATGAGCAAATGAGCAAAAGAAAAAGTAAATCGCATTATCTTTGTAATGCAAAACAGAGGAAAAATAAGGCACAGCATGTTCAAAGTGTTAATTAATTAAGTATCAATACTTACAATGAAGTAAACTAAAAACCAATGACTGAACACAGAAAATTTTATTTAAAAAATAACTAAGTGGCCAAAAACACACCTTGATATGAGTTGAATTAGTCATTGGGAAATCGTTTATTCCTGAGGGGCACATGAAAGACTGCACAAAGCAGGAAAAATATGTCAGGAGATGCAACAGGAAAGAGAGATTTCACGCACAACTTTTCCTCAATAAGCTGTTAACACAAACTGGAAAATATATGCAGTAATAAATTTGACATGGAAATTAGCAGTCCCTTATAGCACACCAAATCAAACCTTCATGATAGGTATTTATTGATTGTCAACACACCATACATACGATAGTGATAATTAACATAAGAAAAATCGCGCTAGTGGGGACAACAAATGACATAAGATTAAATAAGCACCTTTAGTCCAAGTGCACCTGCATTGAGGAGATTCTCCAATGCAGTCGTATTAAAGGCATTCTCTGGCACTAGACCTCCCCAGAAACCTTCAAACAAAAAATAACCCAAAGGAAATACTTAAATAGAAGGAAAGGCCTCTATTTCGAAATGCAAGATGTCAATAAAGTCAGGAACGATCTCATTAAAGTATTTGGAGGTAAAATGAGAACAAATGTAGATGTAAATTGGCACCCTGCAACATAAAAGATATGTTTCATGGTAGTTTTTACTTTTTATGTATGGGTAGCCTTGGGCTTTAATAATTTCAAATATATAAGTACAAGAAATAAATAAAAACTAAGGATCGAGACAATACCAACATCGACATATATTTTCTCATGTGCTGCGTCGACCTAATAGCATCAAACAACAAATTAAGACAATACCAACATCGACATATATTTTCTCATGTGCTGCGTCGACCTAATAGCATCAAACAACAAATTAAGTATTCATTAGTTAACATATATTTTCTCATGTGCTGCGTCGACCTAATAGCATCAAACAACAAATTAAGTATTCATTAGTTATATGTATAAAGCGAAAAGTAGGAAAGAAGCTTTATAAGAAATGCACCTTGAGTTTTAGTGTTTCTACAGACACTGTGGAAGGATAACTGTTGAGGGGCATATCAATCAATGTTGTTATCCCACCTGAAAGAGAACATAAATCACCATTCTAGATTAGAATATGAATGAAACCATGATACATGCTTAGCTAAAGTCCGAATTTTTTTATAATCTCCAAAGTAGTGAAACAATTTAGAAACAAAACAGTAGCAAGTGAATTAAGAAATGTTTCCCACAGCAAATAAAATAACACTGGAACTTGATAGGATTGTATTCTACTGTATACTAAGTTTCAAACTTTCTTATCCTTGAAAGACTGGACAATCAGATGCTTATACCAGTTTATTGAAAGGACCAGCCACAAGAGTGGACGTGTAACATTAATAAATTGATTGAACATAACTAATGCTCGAAGAAAAATCATTGTAATAAACATGTCAAAGTGACAATGTCAAATAATATGACCGTACCAGCAGCTGCTGCCTTGGTCCCTGATGAGAAGCCTTCCCATTCAACCCTTCCAGGTTCATCAAGATGTGTGTGGCTGAATGACAGAAGCTTTGTGAGAAAGAAACTCCAGTATGAATATTCTACTTTTGTAAAGTGAGTAAATGATACATCAATTTTATTTTAACAGACTCTCAGGCCACATGCTTTCATCAAAAGGTTCATCGTTGTCTAAAGTGTCATATCTTTAACTATCTTCTAATACAAGTTTTCACTGCACATGGCTTGTGATTATCAAATTTGAGCTTTCTTCACAGTACATTATATGATGAAATTTCACTTTACATTGCAGTTCATACAAAAGGAATACAGAGAACAGAGATATCTTTAATAAACATAAATGTATCAGATCAATAGGCTGCAATTGCAATATGTGACAGTTTTATAAAGATAATTATCCAAAGTGAATATTATTCAGAAGAGAAGATTATCAAATGGAAGAAAACATGCAAGTGGCTTTACAATTGAAACCGTAAAGTAGTTTAAATTAAAATTTAAATAGGAAAAACATTTTAAATGATACTCAAAGTTAATAAACAAAAAATTAATCAATAATGAGCATATTTATATAACAGACTTCTGTATAAACAAAAACCTTTTCTACTACTCACGTAGTATACAAATTAAAAATATCAATGCTCCCCTCTTATCTTCTACAAAAATACACCACCACTGTTTTTACATGCATGTAGTCTTTTAAGTAAACTAAAAGTGAATTAACAGCAACAAATCCTTATGTGCAAAATAACTTTTGTGTGTTAGTCATAGTAAGTCTATAACTAATTCCTAATTAAGGGTACATACGGTTTCAATTATTAATCCAGCATAGTCTTCAATGAGTGTACATAGCCTTCAAAAAGAATATTTCCTTCGATTCTTTAGTTACTAGTTAAGAGTAAATCAGAGGCTATATGCATAAACATTTTCCTAGTTGGTCCAGTAATCTTAAAAAAATTTCCTACGCTACAATTTATTAGGATATATTCAGCTTAACATGCTAAATAACGAACTCCCCATTGAGTGCGTTTAGTCTTTAAGTAAAAGATACAAACAATTACCAATAAGGAGGGATGTATACCTCTGTATAACAAATTGCACGTATATAGTTTAATTTGAGACTATGAACTCTGATTTATTTCAGTTGTATATACCATTTATTTATATCTAGCACTTTGAAATAAAAACAAGGAGTGTACAAGATAACATACACATCGATCAAACCGGGCATCAAAACAGCGTCTCCATAATCTACTACAGGGATTGATCCAGGAAAATTCTTCCCCTTAACCACAGAAGCAATAATCCCTCCTTTGACCTCAACTGTCCATTTGTACCAATTTAACCCATAAAAAATATTGACTAATTTAGTAATTGCACTAAGTTGATAAGAATTTAACACCAACAACTTGTTCTATTAACTTTTTTCCACTAACCTGCACCGTTGATTACTCCTTCTGGAGTTACAATGCGCCTGCTAGAGATCCAGTAGTGCTCATAGGGGAGAAGACTACAATCGCTATTTGATTGCTGGTCAAAAATTAAAAGAAAGAAATATTTGTAAACATGTATACATATTTTTTTTATAAATATATCAAAATAAACAGATAGGCAGATAATGGTTTTTGTCGCTATATTTTTTGGAAAAATAAAATCTTTAATCAACACCTTTTCCTTAGATTGAAAAAAAAAATTATTCATAAAATTGATTGAGATTATCATTGTTCCGCGAATTAAGGAATCAAAACATCCAAACCTAAAGTTCTAATTAATACAGACAATGGAAAAATAAAACTTTTGCCTTCCAATCACACGTTACTGATCTAAGATGATTCTTGTAACCAAAAAAATCAAAAAAAAAGCAGGAAAAAGAGGAGAATGAGACCTTGGATGAGGTCTTGATGTAAAGCACGAGGAAAGAAAATATGAGAAAAACCAGCGGAAAAATTCTCCATCTCAAAACCTCCATCTCTCTCTAACTTTCTCTCTCTAAAATCTCCGATCAAGTTTTAGAGAGAGAGAGAGAGTGAAGAGCTGGAGAGAATTTTGGGGAGCTCAAATAGAGATGGGTCGAGACTCGAGAGCCCACTTTGGCCTACACGCACCCGCGCGTACCCAGACGACCTACCCGCTTTCGTGCGGGTTCCGTTGCTTTTGCTGACATCATCCGCAAAGATACCCTCTCAACTTGAGGCGGGGCCCACAAAGATGCGGGCGCATCTCGGCGAGGTGCTTCGGTGGAAAATTGCTTTTCCGGAATAATAGGAGCGAAGGGGAATCATGAGGGACCGCGTTTCATGCGACCATAATCTGACCATATTACGTGGCGTGTTCTTATTGGTTACGTAGAAGGTAAAGGAGGATTAGGACTCAGATTCCACTGACCCTCTTTGCACGGGATTCCTGCAGGGGCCACAGGATCTCGGTATCTTTCTGGAATCAAAAGGGAAAAAACAAATAGACTATGATGTGTCGGAAATTTACGATTCTGCCGTCATGGTTCCAGAGAGTTCATTTTGGGCTGGGCCTCCACTAATACTGTCAGAGGACTAGCTTCGACCCCACTTTGGGTCACAAGTGGGAGTCCGGAATAAAAAAAAAAGTATCTAAACTATCAAAATAATATTAAAATCCAGAAAAACAACATCTATAGGTAGAACAAAAATTAAGAAAATTTTATTAAATTTTACAGCATGGCGATTGGCGAAGTATTAGAAGCTGAATTAACGTCTATTACCATATATGACATCAAACATCTAAATTTTACATATTCAAAGTTAAAAGAGAGATGAATCTGAAACGATAAAAAATAACCGGCTCGGATTGAGTTGAAGTAGCACATATATGACATGTAGATGCGAGCAGTTTTGTGTGGATATGTACCTGCATAAAAATGCTTACCTGTATAATAAGATTTTACAATTAGAGTAAATTAGATTGATTTTTTTAAAGAAAAAAACTCTAATTCAACTTTATTCAATAATAGGTTGGATGTGAAATAGATTTGGATTAATTATAACACTCCAAATCTACTAATCTAATGAATGTTAGAACTTTGTTGGGGAAGAACGTTGTTCGTGCAATATATCTTGTTTGATTAATAATAAACTCTCATTTAGTATTAATAACTTTGTGAGATGATATATTTTAGGAATAAACATGTACGAAAAAATTTTGGCTCAAAATGATGCAAAAATCAACACAAATAGTTGATTTCAGTCATTAACCTTTGATAGTCGCGAGACAACCATCCATGATCCACAAATCATCGATGGACTATAGTCAACAGTTTGTATTTTTCAGAAACGAGAAATCAAATCATCAATGGACTACAGTCAATCCGATGATCGCTTTAACCATTAATGGACAGTAAATAATTTGTAAATTCTAGAAACCAAAATTTAAACAATCGATAAACTACAAGAAACCATCAATGATCGGCATCAACCATTGATGATCGGGTTTAACCATCAATGATTTAGACGTGTTTTAGCATATTTTCAGATTCAATCTCAACCGTTTGATCGCAGATTTGATGTCCTATCTTAACACTAATTAGATGACTTATTTCTAATGCAGTCAAGGTCTATTGAAGGAGGATTGGAGAAGAGATTAAGAGAGAGAGAGAGAGAGAGAGAGAGAGAGAGAGAGAGAGAGAGAGAGAGATGATATTTGCACAAGTTTGTGAGATCAAATTCTAGGATTTGAGAGATATTGTAAGTTAGAATTTCATTCCCTGAGCCTCGTTCGACTTCTTCTCGTCATGCTCAACATCGATAGATTGTTTCAGCGAGAAGGAGTGCTCTTTGCATTCAACTCCAACATAGCTTCTTCACGGATCATCATCAACATCAGTTTGAAGAACGGTTTGTCTTAAAAGGGCTGTAAGATCTTTTTAATTGTGTAGGCATCAAAAATTATCTATAGGTTTTCGCACGCAGCTCAAGATGGAGAGAAGATGATGAGTGTTATTATCTGAGCCAAGGAGGATTATTTGACATAGACAAGTGTATGAAGTGAGTTTATGAAGCGTATGAATCAATGGGACGACAGAATAATAAAGAGACGATCCCATCGGGAGTTACGTTTCATCCACGAAAGACAAAGTGTCACACGTGTTACGTCCACTCCACATGTGATTCACCCATGGGAGATTATAGATCTCTTCTCCGTCTTTCTAACGCACATTGAATCGTGTTATTCCGAGATCGGATCGGGAAATTAGAAGGAAAACAGTCAACGCGCGCTAAAACAGCATTTCGGCCAAAACTGAGACACATCTTGTAGCTAGGATTACTACCGTTAGAGTCCTTGTAGCTCTAGCATCCATTTACAAACTGATAATACATCAAATGGATGCTAAAACTATATTTTTAAATAGAGACTTAGATGAAGAAATTTACATGGATCAACCCGAGGATTTGTTGCTTCTGGACAAGAGAAGAAAGTATGCAAGCTTATTAGATCACTATATGGTCTCAAACAAGCTCCAAAACAATGGCATATGAAATTTGATTAGACCATACTATCTTATGGATTTATAATTAATCAAACAGATGAGTGTGTATATCATAAAATAGATAATAACAACAAAATTATGATTTTATGCTTATATGCTGATGATATTCTTATTTTTTGTTCTGATATACAAACCATAAATAATATCAAACACTTTTTATCACAAAATTTTGACATGAAAGATTTAGGTCAAGCTGACCTAATTCTTAACACTAAAATCTTGAAGAATGAGAATGGATATGTGCTATCACAATCACACTACATAAAGAAAATCCTCAAAAACTTTTATAACCCAAACTGTCAACCTGTTTTTACACCATATGATTCTAATATACATCTAAAGAAAAATACAGGTTATCCTCAATCACAAAGAGAATATGCACAAATAATTGGATCATTAGGATTCCTGACAAACTACACCAGACCTGACATTGCCAATACAGTAAATAGACTTAGTAGATATACATCAAATCCTGATAAGAGTCACTAGAATGATCTAGAAATAATTTTAAGATACCTAAAAGGAACCATGAATTATGGTTTACATTATAAAGGTTATCCATCAGTATTAGAAGGTTACTCAGATGCAAATTAGATTAGTGACTCAGTAGATGTAAAATCCACCACTAGATTTGTGTTCCTTTTAGGAGGAGGAGCTATTTCATGGATATCTACTAAACAAACTGTAATTGCTAGAAGTACAATGGAATCAGAAATGATAGCCCTTGATACTACTAGTATAGAAGCTGAATGGTTAAAAGATTTACACAAACCTAGGTGTATGTTTTTTTATAACAAACAAAAGGGGGGAGAAAATGAGCAATTTGAAAACTGCTTGAAAACTTTCTGAGTTTGATTGTCGTTGATCGTGAGTCTTTTTTATAAGTTTTTATTTTTGGTTTACAAGTGGTTTCAACATGACAAGTCTTTCAACCTTGTTTGGTTATAGGAGGAGTTTTCATGTTTTTAGTTTCGAACAAGGAGTTTCTGGATTACCTGTTCTTTTTCACGTATGCATATTTGTAGGGAGAGCTTACATTGCATGTCATACATGTCATATGTTTGTCTTGAACTGAATATATATCTCATCATGTGTTTTTATTTTTTATATTTCAAATTCGGAGTCATGTTATTAATAAAAGGGGGAGATTGTTAAACCTTTGTTTGCGAAGAACGTTATTCGTACAATATCTCTTGTTTGATTAATAACAACATCTTATTTGGTACTAATAAGTTTATGAGATGATATATTTTAGAAATAAATTGGTAAGAAAAAGTTTTGGCTCAAAAACAATATAAAAAACTAACACGAATAGTTGATTTTAGCCATTAATCATTGATGGCCACGAGTCAACCATCAATGGTCCATAGATCATCGATGGACTATAGTCGACAATCTGTATTTTTAAAAAATAAGAAATTAAACCATCAATGGACTACAGTTAACCATTGATGATCGCTTCAACCATCGCTGGACTATAGTAAACAATCTGTGAATTCTAAAAATCAAAATTTAAACAATCAATGGACTATAGGTAACCATTGATAATCGGCATCCATCGATGATTTGTTTAACTATTGATGGTTTAGACGCATTTTGATAGATTTTTAGATTCAATCTCAACCGTTTGATCATAAATTTGATCTCCTATTTCGACACTGATTAGAGGACTTTTTCAAATGCAATCAAGGTCTTTTTAAGGAGGGATTGGAGAAGAGATCAAGGACAAGAAAGAGAGAGAGGATATTTGCACAAGTTTGTGAGATTAAATTCTAGGGTTTGAGAGAGATTGTAAGTTAGAATTTGATTCTCTGAGCCTCGTTCAACTTTTTCTCATCAAAAGATCGTTTCAGCTAGGAGGAATGCCCTTTGCGTTCAACTTCAACATCGCTTCTTCACAGATCATTATCAACATTAGTTTGAAAACCAATTTATTTTAAAAGGGTTGTAAGATCATTTTAATTGTGCTTTAACTATATTAGGGTTGGTTTTGTATTTCAAACTTGCAAGTTTGACCGTATATTAAAGTTAGAATAATTGAGGATTGGCATGCTCAAGCCAGGGTAATTAAGTGTGGCTAGCTAGGGCTAGGTTTCTTCTAATTATTGTGAGGAGACGGATATCTAGTTTTAGGTAGATTCCAGGGTCTTGTTTGTAAAACTTACTGAATCGAGGTATGATTTAAGGATAATTCCGGTCATAGTGAATAAGGCCATTCGTGAGAAGGAAGAGTGGACGTAGGATTTTGATACAAACTACTATAAAAATCTCGTGTGTTCCTGTGTAGATTTCTCCTAGTTTTTTATTTTTTATTTTTCAACTACATATTATGTGTCCATCCAAAAAATTTGTAGCAATCCTATTCAATCCCCATCAAAAGGCGTGCATATCCATTTCCATCAATGGAAACATTTTTTTAATACAATTAGCATAATTAGGTGAATACGAACAAGTTGTTGGTTGATTAAAAATAAAATTTTGGACCAACAGGATCCAAAATTTTTGTTGCA